CACCTTTCACGCGTACAAAGCAGCTGTTGGGAGGGGAGTGCATGCGGGGGGGGGCGGAGCGGGAGTTCTGTGTTCACAGCTTGGTCGGGCTCAAGCCACAGACCGGCAATGGGCCGCGGACCGGGGGTTGACAACCTCTGCTCCGGAGGATTCAAGCAAATTTAAGAGGGGGTGTTGAGAATGTTGGACACATCTTTTTCTCTCTGTGTGAAATAAACAATTTAATACAATCTCCATTCCATCCCACTCTAAAGCTCAGTTATTTTTCTTCTTTTAAATGTCAGCTTTGCAAGCACTCTCTATCAGACGTAGAGATGGGCATGAAGCTTGTTTTGGAGGTTCATGCTGGTTTATGAAGATCTGCATTGGTTAGCCAATGGGGTCCTATCACGTGGAGCAAGGAGAGAAATCAACCAATAGTGGGAGGGGAGGGCAGAATGGTGAAGCACTTTGTTTCCTAAAATATATTGGATGTAAATCTCTTGGTGCTTACTGATAGTCCACATGTATCACGTAAGACAGTGAGGTCTACTAAATACTCCCTGATATATTAGTAAGTCTCCTATCAGCCATAATGTAGGTTGAACATGTTTAAAATGGCTGGTTTATGTGTTGATCCTCTCACAGTGAAGCAGTTTCATACATATAGTTTTGGAAGTAAAACAAAGCCAAGCAAAACTAGTGGTTTGTATTAGTGTGGTTGGTAGTGGGATGGGGTACCATCCCCCCCCAACAATGCCTCTGGAACAGCACAGTACACAATTCCAAGCAATACCTTGGCGGGAAACATGAATATCTGTTGGACAGAGAGGGCTGCCAGGAGAATGTGCCCATACCTCCTAACCCAAAGTGTATATTTACATAAATATGTACAGTGGTGCCTCGCACAACGATTGCTTCATACAACGATGAATTCACACAGCGATGGGTTTTTTTGAGGAATTTCCCCCATCGTTTAACGATGTTCTCTATGGGGGAATTTCACTTAACGATGTCCCTTTTTGCTCATTTAAAAGTGTCTTAAAATGTTTGAAACCTGTTTTAAATGCTTGGATTCCATAGTGCACCTTGTGAAACATGTGCGAACTTAATTTGGTTTTGTTCTGAGTCTTCATTAATTTTTGATGATTTTTTTATTTTCCCCATTTAAATCAATTGAATGGACAGTTCAATTCATTTAAATAGGGAAAACAAAAAATCACCAAAAATTAAGGACGACTCAGAACAACACCAAATTAAGTTTGCATAGGGTTCAGGAGGTGGGCTAACGACTGCAAGCATTTAAAACCTGTTCCAAACATTGTAAGACACTTAAAAATGAGCGAAAAGGGACATCGGAAAAGACTTCAAAAGCACTGAAGCCGGCTTCAGTGCTTTTGAAGCTCTTCCGTTTTCGCTCATTTTTAAGGGTCTTACAATGTTTGGAACAGGTTTTAAATGCTTGCAATCGTTAGCCCACCTCCTGAACCCTATGCAAACTTAATTTGGTGTTGTTCTGAGTCGTCCTTAATTTCTGGTGATTTTTTGAATTTTCTCTCAATGGAATGCATTGGACGGAAAGTTCAATACATTCCAATGAGAGAAAATTCAAAAAATCACTAAAAATTAAGGACGACTCTGAACAACATCAAATTAAGTTTGCATAGGTTTCAGGAGGTGGACTAACCATTGCAATCATTTAAAACAGTGTCCAAACATTGTAAGACACTTTTACAGGAGCGAAAAAGGACTTCGCAAAGGCATTGAAATGTATTGAGTCGGCTTCAATACATTCCAATATAGGAAACATTGTTTCACTCAACGATGTTTCCTATGGGGATTTTCACTGAACGATGGCAATCTGTTCCATTTGGAACGGATTAACCAGTTTTCAATTCATTCCTATGGGAAATGGTGTTTCACAGAACGATGTTTCACACAACGTTGATTTTTTTGGAACCAATTAACATCGTTGTGTGAGGCACCAGTGTATTATATATTTATGATACAGATTTGAACTGTCCTGCTCCTAGCTGATTTGGAGGTGGCCTTGGCTTCCACAAATATTGTACATTTGTGGATCAGTTTTTTTTAAAAAAATGCAAATAGAGAGAAAGGACTGTGACCTATGATAAGGTATGCTCTGCAGCACAAGCAGTTTTCAGACTTACGCAGACCTTTTTTTTAAAGGTTCAATGTGCATGTGTTTCAGATAAGCATGTACATTTTCAGATGTTGGGGAACAGTCTCCTCCAAAGTAGCATTTTGCACCAAAAAAGGAATGATCTGCCAGACCACCCCAAATGGCAAAGCAGAAGCTGTGCTTGGTAGAGAATCCAGAGGTAACCTAGCTCGTAGAGTGTGCTCAGAGTAGACACCAAAATAATTTGGTTCTCTATAATGGCAAAATGCACCAAAGGCCTATCATGGACAGAGAGGTTGGTCTGAAGAGAAATACTTGATTCTTGTGACTTTTTCCAGCAGATTACAAGAGCATCAGGCACTGATGCAGCACACCAGCAAGGAGAAGGAAAAAGTGTGTGTGGGGGTGGGGGAGTAGAAAATGGCGGTGAGAAACGAATAGTCCCTAATCTGACCTATTCCAGTCAAAGCTCACAGAACAAAGAACACATTCATCCATCCACATTCCCCATCACCAGATAACCTAATGCAAAAGTGCAAGCTGGTATTTGTGTCCATGTGGGTATGTGCATGAAAAATAAGGGGGTAAAGACTTTGAAATAAAAAGAATCAAGGATACAGAAAGAGAAGAGTGAGAAAGCAGGAAGGTAACTTCCCAACAAGCCCAGGAACAGCTAATCTGCCTCCATTGTTTCTATCTCTTCCAGGCTCATATTGTTCAGTCACCTGCACGTCCATCCATGTGCTATTGCTCAACCTTGAATCCTCACTTCACCTCTCCCCCCCCCATCATGAATATGATGGAGATGGTTATCTTTGAAAATGAAGAACAAGCTAGTATTGTTTGTGTTTGTATACATAATGCAACAGCTAGCCTAAAATATAGCCAACACCCTCCATCCACCCTGCTTAAATGGCTTCCTGGGCAGCTGTGGGATGGAGGGGAGAGAGAGATTCTGGTGACCTTATTTTGAGCCCTCCTCCACACCTCAGCAGTTGGACCACCCAGGAGAACTCTGAGGCTCATTGATGTTTCCGCCGTGTCTCATAATCTCTTACAGGATCTCCTCTTCGTGTTTTAATTCCTTGGCTGACAGAGCAAAATTGTGTGAGCTTTTCAGGTAGTTGGGGCAGTTGGGGGGGTGTCTCTCCACCTGTCAACAGCCAGCAAAAGTGCACAACTGTTCTGTTTTCCAACATTTATCTGAAGCCAGAGTATACCACTAGTTTTCTACATATACTCAGGCAATTTCCTTGGTATCCAGAAGTATATAAAAAATAACCCCCTTAAAAAACACACATGCACAATCAGAGCCAGTCTGTCAAGCATCTGGAATGTCCCAGGACATGCTGATTGTTGGTGGCAAGAGGAACCTAGTGAAGTTGTGTGGGAAGAATTCTATAGCAGAGGTGGACATCCTCCTGCAAGCAAGGAGTCTCAGGTCAAGAGCAAACTGTCCCTTTCTTGGCAGCCTGCTGGGCAGAGAGAAAGCGAGGGAGGAGAAGGGAGGGTGCATGTGTTTCTGTTTGTGAGAGATCATTGTTGCTACAGTGCTTCACCAACACATTTCCATTTTAAAAAAATCCTTGCTCAGTCATTTTCAAAGTCCTGTATCAGCAGAAAAGGAAATGAAGGGCACAGTCACATTGTTGTGTATTTGTTAGTACTTTGTCCAAAAAGCCAACATGCTCTTAAACAAGGGTTTAAAATGAGAGAGAATGGCTGATGTAAAATCTGGGCCATTGATATACAGTAGTATTACTATCAGTGAAGGTGCTTTGATTTTCTGCATTAATATCAGTGGGTTTGGGATTGCTTCTTGAATGCTGGGCAGAGGTCCAGAATTGCTATTATACAGGAATGGTTAAGTTTTCTTTTTCCTCACAAAGTCCAAGCATTTTTAGCAGTTTGCTTCATTTTTCCTTCTGATATGGCCTTGATATATCTCAATACCTGGACTTCAAATTGAGGGGCTGGATATACTAATAATCCTTTGTCAATTTCAGACTTGTTGGCATTCTTATCTCAAACTATGTATAGTCCATTTTGATAGTAGTAGCACTGCTGGATGTTAATACATGCCGTAAGAGATTACTTTCATTGCTTTTAATTTGGGCTGTTCATCAAACACTTTTAATTTTATTTCTGTTAACTCAAAAATTTTAATAAACACAGTTTTGTGGGGAGAAAGTTATTAATATTAACTTTTTGGTTCCCTGTCATATTTAATACTTTGCATAGAATTAATACAAAGGAAAAATCACTTTTAAAAGAAGTCTAAAATAATAATTAAACCTTTTCAATAAAATTCAGCTTTAGCAACCACCCAGTTAACATGTATTCCTTTACACTGATCAGTTAATATGAATAAACATAGAGGAATGGTAGATGCATTTTGGACTAGCCTCTCAGGTTCAAACCTTATAAACCTCAGCAGAGGACTGGAAATTTACCTTGTCCCATAACACAAATCTTGTCTGCCAGGTTTAGAATAGAGCAGGCATGCTGAGTAGAGATGCACAGAGAAAGAAAAAGGAATATACTCACTTAGGATTAATGTTTCATTCCATCACTTTGACTTGTTGAATTTACACTGAATTAATATATCCTGATAACACGACTTGGCAAATTATTTTTAGCTGGCTGTCCATTATCTTTCCTTGGTCTCTCACATGGTGCTATTTCATTTTTATAGACTAATTTAAGCACAGGCTTTTTCCTCCCTTTATTTTAAACTTTTGCCATTGCTGTAGATCATTCTGTGATGTGGCCACAGAGGACACATTTATTATCAGAAGCAATGGTGGGGGTGGGAAGTGTCTTTTCCTTTCTTTTTTTACAGCAAGTCTAATAAATTTGTCATTTGAATTAATTTTAGCTGTCTTATTGACTTGCGAGGTGCTTCAAGGCTGCTCAGTCACAGAAGTATTTGAGGTAAGATGACAGAATATGCTGTTCAGCTAATGTGACGTCTTTTCATTTGCTGATAGCAGTGTCTTCCCCATGAGGGAGCTAAGGTGGGAAGGAGCCAAGAAATTTGTGAGAGGTGGATATTTGTACCAATAGCACAGAAAAGCAGAAGCGGGTGGAAGGACATGCTCTGGTTAGCAAAGGGGATCATAAAACGTGGCAGGACAGGCCCTGCTATTAGGTGGGGTGAGGCGGCTAATTCAGGCATCAGATTTTGAGTGTCATGAAAGGTCAGATATATGTTCATTGTATTTTTGCTGTCAGGAAGGAGGAGAGGTGCTTGTGAGATTTTGTGTCTCGGATGCCAGTTTAATGTGCCTTGGCCTAGAGCAGTGGTTCCCACTCTTGGGTCCCCAGATGTTATTAGACTAAAACACCCAGATGCTTTCACCACTAGCTGTGCTGGCCAGGATTTCTGGGAGTTGTAAGTCCAAAAACATGTGGGGACCCAAGATTGGAAACCACTGGTATAGAGTATTACCCACTTTGACTTAACAAGTAAGGAACATCATTTGCTTCTTGTTTCCAGCAAGAAAAATCAGTTCTGATACTATAATCTTCTCTTGAGCAAATGTAGTCAAATGTAATCTTCTCTTGAGCAAATGTAGACTCTGGAGCTGCTGATAAAGTTCAGAAGAAAGGATATTATTAGAAGAAAACTCCAGTCATTCAGCTGTAAAATGAAGTGAAATGAAATGAAATGAAGAGAAGCAGTGAACAACAATGGGTGCTTCCAAATCCCCTTCCTTTCATCTAATGCCACACGATTCTGTTGTGGTTCCTTGTGCCAAATGTGGATAATCTAGAAGCAAGTAGGACAGTAACTAGTGGGCCCCTCCAAACTCTGCACTGCGATGATGATGATGATGACCAGCTTGAAGGAATTTCAAATTATAAACTAAGCAAAGTTCAGTCTTGTAGTCAGCATAATGTCCTGTGTATTTTTTTATATATTGTGTAATCTGGTGCTGGTTTTGCTTATCCTAAGCTGACTGGATGGCTCAATGAGTTGGAACACTTGGAGCTAGTGGCTCAGGAATTAGATCCCCCCCTCCCATGCCTTCCAGGAGAAAAGCCAGCCTGTGTAGTTTAGGGCAAGCTACATAGTTCTTACTCCAAGTTTTACCTCAAACCATCACCATTCTTACTCTCCTCCTGGTTTCTGATAATCTCTCAGACATTGCTTATATCTTTATAATTTATCTGTATAACAGTGTTAAACTGTCTTTTAATTTACATGAAAAGGAATTATATGCTTGGGAGGTTGGGTTCTGCTTCCCAGTGATTCTTTCCTTATAGTTGTATAGACCTCTGTCCCCCAAGCTTCCTTTCCATTGAAAGTGGCCCAAGATAAAGGGGAAAAAATGTTATTACACATAACAAGTAAAATTAATTTGAATATGTCATAAACTTTAAAAAGTCACTACTAAAAATTTCATGGTCTAAATCTAACTGATAGCCCCAACTGGTACATTCTGATCAACTGAGTCAGCTGTTGAATGGGGAATCTATCACATGCTTCATGGCTTAATCAAGAAGCCATGTTTAACATGAACAATAGCTTACTGTGACATATACATGCATAAACTTTATTGTTTCTGACCATAGGCCTTTACAATGTACATATAGTATATAAAATCCAATTAAAACAGGCAATTGCCATAAAACCAATAAAACTCGGTCTAAGAATATTATCATGACATATGATGTCAGTCCACTGTATTCAGCATTTATGTGGCATTATGATCCTTGACAAATCAAAATCTCAGCTTCTTGACTGCCAGTGCAAATTGCGCTACAGCTTATGTAATGTGCAACTGTGTATTGGCAAGCAATCCAACTACAGTGAGGTCTTGACCTACGGAATTAATCCGTATTGGAACGGGGTCCACAGGTCGAAAAGTCCTCAAGTCAAAAATGCATTTCCCATAGGAATGCATTGAAAACACATTAATCCGTAACTCGCCCAAGAAACATCCCCCCATACACAAATTAAAAATATCTTTTTAAAAAAATTACCTTACCTTTTCGAAGTCTTCAAGGGGTCCCCTGCCGCTGCCATCACCACTGTTGGAGGACTCTGAGGGCTTCGGCGCAGCTGCCAGAGGCCTCTCGGAGCCCCCCCGCCGCAGCCATCGCCGCTGCCAGAGGACTCCGAGGGATTCAGCGCCGCTGCCGGAGGCCTCTCGGAGCTCCCCCCCCTGCTGCCGATAGTGCTTCGGAGACACTATCGCCGGTGGCGGAGGGACATCCAAGAGGCCTCTCAGGGTGGTGGGGAAGGCCTCCAGAGGTTCATGTGCTACCACTGCTGGGAGCAGAGCCGCGCCGGGTGATCCTGGCCATGCTTGGACTCCCAGGAGTCCGAGCATGTCTGGGATTGCCTGTCGTTGCTCTGCTCCCAGCAGCGGCAGTTGCCAGGGACCTCCTGATGTCTTCCAGGCGGAGAAGCAATGGAAAGCATCCAGAGGCCCCACCCACCCTGCTGCCACTGCCACTGCTGCTGGGAGCCTTTGGAGGTCTCAAAGAACTTCCTCCAATAATTCTTGTCAAGGTAGTTCATGCAGTTATATTTCCCTATGGAGTAGTTGCTATCAGTCCAGCAGTCCTTTTGGTTGTTTCTCATATGGCTTTGCTTAAGAGTGGGAATTTCTGTTTTCTCCCTCGCCCCTACCTCCATTCAATTTTTTAAAGGATCTCTTACTTCTTTCTGTCCCAATTATGAAGAAATGGGCTGATCTTTTGAGTCCTTATCAGGGAAACAAAGAAACAAATGTTTTTGCCTATTTTTGTTGGCAAAATTCAATAGGTACAACTCTTGCTAACACAAAATACTATGATGCTCATGACCTCTGGATGCTCCTTGAAAATGAGGAGCCTGTTAGAAGAAAAGGGAGATGACAGCCCTAATTTAGGATTATAAATGTGAATACCATGTACAAAAACTGAAAGGCAGATCTCTGAGACCTACTCACTCAAAACATCTTTACCAGGTTGGATCAGTCTCTCTATTCTATTTTCTTCCACGTCCAGTTCTTTTAAAATCTCAAATTCTTTCTGCTCCACTTAAGAGAAGTCACTGATGAACTGAATACATTTCTCTTCCATCCCAATCAACTGTCTCCCTGCTATCCAGGGAAATTCACAACACCTTCCGACAATAGTTTCTATGTGGAGTTTTTCTATACCCGCTTTATTCCTGCCATCTATCAATACAATCTTTCTCTCTACCACTCATCATTTCTTCAATGTCCAGCATTCAAGTTACTGGTCCGTAGGTTGATTCTCTGGCCGCAAGTCGAAGTTAAATTTTGCAGCTGGAGAGTCCACAGGTTGAAAAGTACGTAAGTGGAGCTGACTGCAAGTCGAGACTCCACTGTACTATTTCTGTGGTGGTACACTTAAGATACATCTGAAGGATGGGTACCAGAAATCTTTCTCTAGTATTCTTATAGAGAGGACAAAACAGTAAGTAGTGAGTTAAATCTTCGATCTGGATGTAGCCAAAAACACATTTTTGTTCCTCAACTGGAATTCCTTTATAAATCCCTTTGAGGTATGCCGAGGCCATCTGTCCAAAACTAAGTTCTGTAAAAGCTTTGTGAATCTGGGGAAAAGTCAGTGACTCAAAATATTTTGGTTTTGCGTGGTTCACGTGAAGTTGGGGGTACCAGGTAGAAAAACAGGACCCAACAATAGCCGCCCTATCCTGACTGGCATCAAGGTCAAAGATCCAGTTCCAAAGGTCACGGGAGCTTAAGCTAAGGAATGTTTCCATCAGAAGGTTGTAAATCTTTAATTTTTGGTGACATTGTTGTGACGAACCACCCAAGTTTAGTTGTTCTAGCCAGCAGCACTTTGTCAGGGAGGAGTCGTCCAAGCTGTTCAATCTATGCCAATACCCATAATAAGCCAGATCAATTTAGGATAGGCCTAACTCAGCTTTGAGATGAGCTGAGGAGTTCCTGGGGGCAGTCCCAGTATCAGCCACATGAAATTTTTCTGCAGGATTTCTAATTTGGACTTGGCTGTCTCTAAACGGGGAATCAACACTTAAGCACATCACATTGATTTAGTGATCAATTGATCCAGTTGATTCAGTGGGTCTACTGTATTTGACATTACCAGCTGGGTTCAGGCTAATGTTCTCATATGCATATTAATCTGGGTTCTACAGCTGACAGTAAGCAACACATTCAGAAGGAAAACTACTGTGTGTACACTATCCTGAGCTTTCTGAAGGAAAGGAGGGACAGGAATGCAATAAAGAAACAATGAAACAAGCAAAAAGATATGTGAAAATTTCTGTTGCTGTTCCACTTAGGGGAAGTTAAAGAGTTCTTTCTCTGGACCTATTAAGATGGACTCAGTGCATGCAACCAATGTTGCTGACTCTGTAACCTGTGCATGTTAAAACACACACACAGAACTTGCCAGTCAGGTTGACCAGTTGTTCCATTTGAGGCCCTAACATTATTAGTAAGGTTGATCCCAGACAAATATTTCATCTGTCTCCACCTGTTCTCTTACTATCAACATCACTGAAGCCAATGACGTTGGAATACAAATGCATTCAAAACTGTGCTGGCTGTTCCACCACCTGACTCATTTACTTTTGAGATTCAAAGACAAATGTTTCATTTCCTGATGGAAGAATTGGCCCCATCTGTTACATGTAAGCAATGAGAAGGAAGGCAGCAGTTTGGTAAAGGTCACTCAAGCTCATATGGGAACAGCTAGAAAAGCTGTTTGTGCCAGACAGGAGAAAGAGTATCAGTGCTAAGAGCTGTGCAAGAACTCAGCTCCTCTGTACAAGATACAGTGGTGCCTCGCTTAACAACATTAAGTTGTTCCAGCGAAATTGCTGTAGAGTGAAAACGTCGTAAAGTGAAATAAAAAAGCCCATTGAAACGCATTGAAAACCCCTCAATACGTTCCAATGGGCTGAAAACCCACTGTCCAGCGAA